AAAAAAAAAAAAAAAAATCTTCAACTTGGATGGATTTAGAGTCTATAATATTCAGTGATCTATCACAGAAACAAAGAACTGAGTACCATATGTTCTCACTTATAAGAGGACCCTGAACAATTATCATAACACTATAACAAGGGGATTGGCAGTAGTGGGAAAGTGCTGGGGGCAGGGGGCATATTTAATCAATAAGTGTACCTGATCTCAAACCAGGTGAATTGGGTACCAAAGCGAGGCCCAAACTTTACCTGTACAATGACCATTTGTATACCCAATCTTGAATTGTACCCAACATCCTTAAAATAAAAAAATAGGCTGAGCTCAGTGGCTCAGGCCTATATCCCAGCACTTTGGAAGGATGAGGTGAGAGGATTGCCTGAGCCTATGGGTTAGAGACCAGCCTGGGCAACTTGGCAAGACCTCATCTCTACAACAAATAAAAAAATTATCTGGGTGTGGTGGCGCATGCCTGTAGTTACACCTACTTGGAAGTCAGAGGTGGAAAGATCACCTGAGACCAGCAGGTTGAGGCTGCAGAGGTTGTGAGCATGCCACTGCACTCCAACCTGGGTGACAGAGTGAGACTCCAACTCAAAAAATAAATAAATAAAGATAGATAGATAAATAAATTAATTAAATTAAATAAATCTCAGCCGGGCTCCATGGCTCAGCCTGTAATCCTAGCACTTTGGAAGGTCGAAGCAAGTGGATTGCCTGAGCTCGAGTTCGAGACCCACCCCAGCAATTTGGCAAGACCTCATCTCTGCAATAAATCAAAAATTAGCCGGGCGTGGCAGCACACACCTGTACTTCCGACTACCTGGAAGGCTGAGGCAGGAAGGATCATGGAGCCCAGTAAGTTGAGGCTGCAGTGGCCGGAAGCATGTCACCGCACTCCAGTCGGGGCGACGGAGTGAGACTCCAATTCAAAAAAAAAATTTTTTTGCCGGGCTCGGTGGCTCAGCCTGTAATCCCGCGCCTTTGGGAGGCTGAGGTGAGTGAATTGCCTGAGCCCGCGGGTTCGAGACCCGCCTGGGCAGCGAGACCTCATCTCTACAATAAATCAAAAAA